TTATATATGTGGTAAGACTTCACATTTAATTAAAACCTTATCTTAAGTTGTTGTTTTCTTAAATAATTAATTACTTTCAACAATTTTCGAATAATTATTTATATATTTTTTCAATTTTATAACAGCGAGTGATTGGTTATCTTCAATTGTTTTAAGAATATATCTTCTATGCTTTCATTTAATAAAAAAAAGACTGGTGGTGGTAGCTTAGTGGCTAGAGAATCAGACTCCGATCCAGGGGGACTGAGGTTCGATCTTTGACACCGCTGAGACCTACCGAGTGCATGCGATATACGTACTCGTAAAATTTCTGAAATCCATAAGTCCAGCGGTCGGTCGCTGACCAGGTCCATGGGTACAGGAAACTGAGAAAAAAATTTCTCTCCTTTAGATCTATGTTTAAATTAAGGAAGTGGACTTGTAAATTAGTGGTTCTGCCCTCGATCCGTGGGTTTCTAAGCCAAGACGTACTTTCACCCTTGTGGTGCTCTTATCAAATAAAAAACGCACCTTCCTGACTAAATATGCAAAAAGGAAAATCGCTGGTAAGCTTGACATGACCAAATGTCGTACGAAACTACATTTAAAAAGCTTGGAATTAACTAAAGCATCTTATTTTAGTTATCGTTGTAGCTATTCATAAGTGTGAACTATTTTAAAACATTATATAAAAGCCTCATTTTTAAAATGAATAATAATTTTATAAGTAGAATTATTCCTCAAAACGAACAAATATAAATGTTTCTTTCTTTTTCTTTGAAAAAAAAAAGAATAAATTGCAAAACGCATTGAAAATTTCCAATTGTAGTTGTCTGAATCAAAATACCTAGATTGATTGATTAATTGTTGTCACGTGACGATTGATTCTAGATTGATTGATTGTTGTCACATGACGTTGTGTCATGTGACAACAAGACTAGGGGAGAGTTTGTAATTAAAAGCCGGACATGGCATTTTTGGCTGAACTACTGTTGCTATCAATCATAAAACTAAACACCGTACTACTTCGGAGACGAATGCAAATTTTTTTTGTTAGCATGATTAGAAAAGCTCTAATTTGTTCTACTTATTTACTGTAGTTTCTATTTGCTTGAAGATTAGTTTCAGGTTAATTCAACATCTGACAACGCCTTGTTTTCAGTCGCTAAAGCATTTTGTTAGAAATATGTTAGGCCTATTTTTCCATTTAATGGCATTGCTGGATAAAGCCTGTTTTTTATCAGAGGGTGGCAACATTCCACAATGCTCTAAGTTGAAATTCCTGGTAGGTTGCATATAGTGCTTGAACTGCAATTTGGGGACACAAGAACCCTGTAGCATTGCAGAAAAAATTATCTCAGTTTTATTAGCATTTTCTTTCTAAAATCTGATCTATTGACTTAAATTACGAAGATTTCAAATAATATTTCTCATATTACTTAATTTTTAATCTCCTGCACGTTTCTCAGTGTCGGATTAAAACAATATTTACTCGTTAACATAAATAAATATTTGAATAAGAAAAAAGTGTTATGTTTTTTTAATTCTTTCTATATGTATCCAGTTTTATCCGACTAAGTCAAATCCAAAATTATTAATTTACCTTCCAATATATAGTTTTTTTTTAAGTAAAATCTTTCAATGAAACTTTAAAAAAATTATTTAAAGAGTTTTTTAGAAAATAAATAACCTTTAGTACCCACTTTTGCCCATTTCCCCCCTGTATGATAATTTTTAGTTTTACTGAATGCAATAACTTCGTAATGATTGACTAAAAAGTGCATATTTTTCTTCAATTTTGTAGAAAACAAACGACATCATGAAATGAAACAAATTAATTTAATTAATATATTTATCTAGTATAATATATTTTATAGTTATAATTTTTCAGTGTTGTAAAATTTCTTACGCAAGAAAATTAACTAAAGGTTTTTATATAATTAAAAAAAATCGAAGTTAAACCAAGTTAATTAGATTTACTTTTGCATTAAATATTTTTACATACATATAAAATATTTTGAATTCGAGCAAATACTTTTGAAAAAATGCAGGCACTCATATAAAACGAAATATTACTTAATTTAGTCACTTAAATTTAAATGGTAGGTATAACTAATTTCATTTATTCTAGTATACACTGTTAGAAATTTTTCGGAAAAAATAGTTAAATTACATTTTATTTAATTGCTATCGTACCATATTCAAACAAAACATGGAAATAACCATAAATAAGATAATATTAAAATTGTTAACTGTGAGAAAAGCGTTTATTAGGTTGTATCACCTGATACGGTTAAACAACCAGAATTTTTCGCATCAACTAGGCTCACCTAATTAAGCCTCTTAGTTCCTTGCATCTGGTTATATATTATAGCCGAGAGAACAAATCTGTCTGTCTCATGACCGAGAAAACGTGGGTTTGAGCCCCAGGGCTCCTTACGATACTCTCTTTCACGACTAGATTGTAGCACTATAAAGCTGCTTGGCATAAAAAAAGTCTAGCATTTCCCATCTTTTACGATAGGTGAAGAAACATATTCCACTGTTAATTTGATAAAACACAACCTAACTCCTATCCACTACCCAACGAAAAACCTAGCTCCAATTTTCAGTTAAATTTCTTATTTACGGTTTTGAAATGGTTTTTAAATGGTTAAAAAACCATTAGTTTTGTACTCGCGGTATTTTAACCATATTGATTCTAAACGGTTTCAAAACCGTAAAAGTAAAAACTGTTCTTTGCCGTAAACTTTACGGTTAATTAGAGAGACAGCCTGCTGCCGGTTATTTTACCTTAACTTTAGAATAGAACTTCTAATATTTTGCTGAATCCGGAACGGGTGTCAAAAATGAAACTTATTCTTTAAAAAAATTTATATCTTCCTGAATTATTGCTTTAATAATGAGTATAAAACAACTTAATTCAGCCAATGTGCGTTGTCAGAAGAATTTAGTAATAAACTGTTTTTACGGATATGAAAAATAATGGTGCATTATTTTGATCATTTTACATCCTAACATTGAGAATTTACAGAATGAATAGATGTATTTAGTTAAAGCCTTTTCAGAAACGTTAATGGACTTTTTGCTTAAATATTAAAATTTTGCCATTGGTTGATCTTGTATTGATACACAGAATTTTTAAAATCAATCAATCTAAATTCATACTATAATCAGTTTTTATTTAACTGTAATGCTAATTTTAAAAATTTTTTACACACATCATGTAATTTGTTACCAAACAATCCAAACTTTAGTACTAAAGTTATCAAAAATGTTTTTTTCATATTATATCACAGCTTATTTAACTATATTTTACCATTTTCTTCTTATCTCTCAGAGGCAACTTGTTATGAGGGTAGAGGAGAAAACTACAGGGGACCTGTTTCTCACACACTATCTTCCCATCAGTGTCAAAGCTGGAGTCCNAGGATTTTGTAACCAACGGAATGATCGTGACAAATTGTGATTGTGTAAATTTGGTCAGCATTCACTACGCATACTTTCCAGACAAGCTATTATGTGCCCATCGATCTCAAACTAGTTGGGGTCTAAACCTTCTCTGAGGATGGAACTTCTGAAGTATTTGCAAATTTAAACACACCGGTTAATATATGCAACTGAATACTAATTCTTACTGACTAAATGATTAAACAATTCTTATTGCCTGAATAAATTTAATGCTTACAATTAATTAAAAAAAATTTAATGAGTTAAGCGATAAACTGTAAAATTTCTTTTCATCTTGACTTACTCATAATTCATGCATTACTTTCAGGGGTGAAATGCATCATCCGCGTTCAACATCGGGGACAACAATAATATCTCCTGTTGCGATCAAAACTCTAAAAGAAGGATCTTCTGCGCAAACCAGACAAGAATTTTGCAGAGAAATCGAAACTGTTGCAAGTTTGCAACATCCCAATGTTGTGTGCTTGGTTGCTGTTTCTATTAGAGAAGAACCTTTATGCATGCTGTTTGAGTATATGTTTCAGTGCGATCTGCACGAGTTTTTATTAATTCATTCTCCACATTCAGATGTATCAGCCAGAAGTGATGACGGAACGCCACAAATCTTGGAATTATCAGACTTTTTGGCAATATCAATGCAAATCGCATCAGGTAAGGTGAATAAATATTATTTAAATTAACAGAAACTAAAATTTTTAATCTTAGTTAAAGGACCTCCTTTTTAAATTGAGGAATCTAGGGACTTTCCTGGGAAACATGTAGAAGTAATTTGCCACAAGAAAGTTCCTAGGATTTTTTCACGTTAACTCCTTTAAAACATAGCATATTTTGCATCTAAATCAATTATTTGACCTTCTAAAACTTAGAAGAAAAAAATTTCACTTAGTTTCAATAAGTTCCATCTTCAGATTTCATAGTTTAAATTTTATTAATCTGTATTTAATAAAAGATGGTAATCTATTTCGAATGCATTTTAAGTCCTTAGGAGATGAGTACAATCAGGACAGCATGGAAAAAAAGAAATATACAACAATGTCAGCTCGCTAATGATCAGGCAAAGTGTATGAGTGGAATTTTTATACGACAATAATCATGATATGATGTTAAACACTTATGAATTAGAGAATTGTGAACTATGAGAGAAAAATACACAAAGAGTGGGAATCAGAAGGGAAGAGCATGAGATCAAAATTTTTGAAAACACTTTGAGACGACCTTTATCCAGCAATAGATTGATAAATTGTTAAGGATAATGGTCACGATGACTTTTTTTATCGTTATACCAAATCTCCATTTTTTACCCAATTTACTTTCGTATTAGGTAAAAAATATATAACTTGCAGCATACATTGTCTAAAGTCAAATAAAACCAGAATTTTAAAAGATGTTTCTGACATTTATACCAAGATTTTTGCAACTTCCATTTCTAAGTTTTCGTTGCATAGCATCAAAACAAGTTCATATAAAAAAAAAGTGTTCAAACTTTTAAACTCTAAAATTTTTTTCATGATGCATTTCTTCTACATAAGCTATTCATTTTTTAGGTGAGCATGCTTGGCTCTATATTTTGCTACCTTCTCTGCTGGCAGTTATCCTTGTGGGCGGCATTTTTGGATTGTGGTGTAAGAAACAGCGTAGTAAGACCTGCACATCGAAACTGTCCCCTCATAGTACTTCAGCACAGCTTATACCCATTCATCATCAAAATTCCAGCCACTCACACACCCAACAGATTGAAATGCAAAAGTTTTTACCCCGCATACCTCTCGGGATCCATGAAGTATCGCCACAGTCTATTCATTTTTTACACGAGCTTGGCGACGGAATTTATGGAAAAGTGTTTCGGTAAGTTGACACTCTAACAGAACCTCACTTTAAACTCTCATACTTTCGCCGTAGTTGATCATGCAACTTTCGACTTTGAGAATTTATATCTAAAATAATCCATTTTCATTTTAGTATTTTTTTTTAAAAAAACTGCAATTGCGCTCAAACTATTTTTAACCTATCAAATAGTGCATATAAGAGATTTACATAGCAATTCTGTATGATGAACTTTTTGGCGTATAAATCAGTCATAGTAAGTAAATATCTAGATACAAGCTATTTATAAGTCGGCAAAAAATAAAGTGTGTGCAAAGCAATGTCAAAAATTTAAATCAATCTAAGCTTTATTTTTTTCTAATAATGTTTAAATTTTTACTAAGTTGATCTTTTTATTTAACAAAGAGGTTATGCAATTTTAACGATGCAACAAATTATAGACTAAATTACTAATAGAATTTCGTTGAATTTTAAAAATTTTGATCATTGAAAATTTAATGTTAAAAAAAAAACAATTGAGTAGTTTTTTATTAATTAATTAACTATATCCATTCGATTATAAGACACGTGTATGCTTTTCTTTTTATGATTATTTTCATAGGCCATGAGAATTTTTTTATTTAATCGAATTGTATTTATTAAAAGACGTATATTATTGTTCAACAAATTTTTTTTTGGTCCCCCCTACCAGCTCAGCGTCTGAAAACCGGTTTGCGGCTCCGCGCAGAAAAAACTGTGTTTGGATAATTTAAATAATTGATAGAACTACATGAATAATTTATAAAAACTACCCATTTTATGTATTTCAAAGTCAGCTTTTTAGCACTGGAACGACGCAGTTTATTGTTTTAAAATTATGTAATTCTTTTTACATTTACAATTAAAAATGCTAATCATTGTTATATTAAATAATTAAATTGATAATTTATTATAGCTAAAAACTTAGCCATGAAATCATTTTAGATAAACATGATTACTGTTTTTATGTAATTATCATTATTTCCCGCAAAAATATGGAGAAAAATAAGTAAAAAAAATATCTTTGAGAAGCTAAACCCCTGACAAAACAATTATAGCAATTTTTTTCTGATAATGATATGCCCGTTTAACTTTAAGTTTTTTTTTCAGAACTTTAAGTCTCAAAAAAACTTATTTTTAGTCAGAAAAAAGGGTTACTCTTGATATAACAATTTAATTAATAATTATAACTAATTAATTATAGTATCTAAGATCTTTTTTAATCCTAGGGATCTTATTTTAATAAAAAAAAAAGATTAGATCTAAATTTTTTCAAGCTTATTTACTTATTCAATCGGCTTAACTTCCCTACAACTTTGACCATGACATTTTTAGTTGTTATTTCGGTTTTTAAGCATGAAACTTTCCGAAAAGGCTGCTATAGACGAAGATGCAGTTAATTTTGAATATCAAATGTATCAATAACCAATAATGTTGTGTCCGAAACATCTGTCTACCTTTTAACGATCTTATAAAGATTCCAGGCTTCATTGTCAAAAATACTGAAAAAATATTTAATTAATATTTTTTTCTCCTTTTAACACTAATTTTTAAATTTTAATCTTTATTTCTTCACATTCTTATTATTTTAAAATTTATACCCTTAGTATTCTTATAAAAAGGCAATGCTTTCCGCATTTGTGTCAGGTGTTCATGGAGGTTAAAACTAGGATTTTGTAACCAACGGAATGATCGTGACAAATTGTGATTGTGTAAATTTGGTCAGCATTCACTACGCATACTTTCCATGCAAGCTATTATGTGCCCATCGATCTCAAACTAGTTGGGGTCTAAACCTTCTCTGAGGATGGAACTTCTGAAGTATTTGCAAATTTAAACACACCGGTTAATATATGCAACTGAATACTAATTCTTACTGACTAAATGATTAAACAATTCTTATTGCCTGAATAAATTTAATGCTTACAATTAATTAAAAAAAATTTAATGAGTTAAGCGATAAACTGTAAAATTTCTTTTCATCTTGACTTACTCATAATTCATGCATTACTTTCAGGGGTGAAATGCATCATCCGCGTTCAACATCGGGGACAACAATAATATCTCCTGTTGCGATCAAGACTCTAAAAGAAGGATCTTCTGCGCAAACCAGACAAGAATTTTGCAGAGAAATCGAAACTGTTGCAAGTTTGCAACATCCCAATGTTGTGTGCTTGGTTGCTGTTTCTATTAGAGAAGAACCTTTATGCATGCTGTTTGAGTATATGTTTCAGTGCGATCTGCACGAGTTTTTATTAATTCATTCTCCACATTCAGATGTATCAGCCAGAAGTGATGACGGAACGCCACAAATCTTGGAATTATCAGACTTTTTGGCAATATCAATGCAAATCGCATCAGGTAAGGTGAATAAATATTATTTAAATTAACAGAAACTAAAATTTTTAATCTTAGTTATAGGACCTCCTTTTTAAATTCAGGAATATATCATCTAAGTACTTTCCTGGGAAATATGCAGACTTGTCTTTTCTTGTCGCAAGATAGTTCCTATGATTTATTTTTTCGCGTCAACTCTTTTAAAACATTACATATTTTGCATCTAAATCAATTTTTTGAGCTTTTAAAACTTTGAAATTTTCTTTCACTCTGTTTTCATAATTTAAATTTTATTAATCTGTATTTAATAAACGATGGTAATCCATTTCGAATGCATTTTAAATCGTTAGGAGATGAGTACAATCAGGACAGTGTGAAAAAAAATGGAGAAAAAAAATTTTAAAAAAGCAAAAACGCAACAATGTTAGATCACTATGATTGGAATTTTTATACGACATTTATCTTCTCCAATTTTATGGAAAAATGCAAACTGTGAAATTAATTGTTTCATAAATGCTTCCTCTAATCACTAAGAATCTAAATAGCTCGTGCATTTTCTTTAGACATGCACTATTTTGTGTCTAAGTTACATAGCATTGTAGAAAACCTGTTTGAAGCATAAGAAAGCATCATAGGCTAAATTTTGGAACTGGAACTCAGAGAACTAATGTGTAATCCCAGCGAACTCCAAGTATAACTTAATCTGGCCTTGGTTGAACAAAATTTACTTTTTAATGTAAGCCAATTCGTTGAATCATAAATTTCATGAATCTGTAAGTTATGAAAATTACATTTCATACTCTTTCCCTTAAATCTAATCTATACCATTGGTTCTACTCTTCCTTTAGTCCCCTCATAATTGATTTTATTATCGATTTGTATTAATAGCATTTACTATGATAAATTCATTAAATGGAAAATATTAGTGTACTTTTTAATTTTTTTGTCAGTTTGCTTATAAAAAAGTTTGTTAAGTTAAATTTTTGCTTCAATAGGCATGGAGTACCTTTCAAGCAAGCGATACATTCATCGTGACTTAGCCGCTCGAAACTGCCTCGTGTCCGTTGAAACAGCACCAACGAGCTTATCTCAATCATGTCTGACCGGTGGTTCAACTTCCCTCATGGACAATATCTTAGTGAAAATTTCCGATCTTGGTGTCAGCAGGCACAGTTGTGCGAAAGAATATTTCAGGATTCGGAACACTTTGCTCCCTGTTCGATGGATGGCTCCAGAATCTTTGTTATATGGCACATTTACCACGGAAAGTGATGTATGGTCATATGGCGTTCTGTTGTGGGAAATTTTCAGCTATGGTATAAGACCTTACTTTAATTGCGACAATCAAGAAGTAATAGATCTTGTTTGTACGCACCAACTTCTTCCAAGGCCCGAATATTGTCCGCCGTTTGTGTATTCGATTATGAATGATTGCTGGCATGACACTCCTTCGCACAGACCAAACTTCAAAGAAATCTACAATAGATTGTGTTCGGTACAAACATTGCATGAGAGAACATTTAGCATTAGTCATTCTGTATTGACTCATAATAGCAGTCACCAAAGTAGTACAGGTCCGAGTAATAAGACATTATCCACTAATTTAAGTTGTGGAACTGGCAATATTCTGGTTAATGGAGCAACTGTAAGGCAAAATGGTGCTTTCCAGTTTTGTGGTACTGGCAATGGTTTCGTGTCAGCCAAAATGATACCTGCACATAGAACTCATCAATGTGAACAAGTGTGAAAAGTGTATGAATTCATTTGACAATGAGTTATTTTTTTCAACTGTCGTTGTGCCATGGAAAGACTGAAAACACATGATGAAATTATTGGCAAACAAATGTTTACAAACATGGTAACTTTTCAGTTGACATATAAATAAATGAGAATTAAAATCTCTTCGAAAAGATTTGCCACTAATGTTGTGAAATGATCATGCTGAATCATAAAGCTTGTCATTAGTCAGAAATCTTTAACGTCTTGACCAAACTAAAGAAAAACATCCCTTTTTCTTATAACATGAATATTAGTTTTCCGTTTCTTAACATACCTTATTGGTGTGGGGCCTTATTGGTGTGGTCTTTATGTTAAATCAAACTTCCTGATTCTCAGAAAAATCAGTAGTAAACGGTAATAATAATTTCGAATTAATTGTCTGAAACCTTAATGAGGTATTTAGTTGAACCATGATATCGTGTAATCATATGTAAGATTTAACTTGCACGTTAATGTGGTTCAAACTAACGCCTTACTATGGTTACGGAAAATTTGCAAGCTAAAAGATCAAGCTACAATGTTTTAACAATGGAAGCTTTCAAACCATATTTAGACTTTTCTCATATGACTAGCAAAGTGGCGACTCATGGGTTGCGCGGATATGATAAAGTACTTATAGTTACTTAGTATGGATTACTTTACTACTGTAGAAAGCAAGCATTTCAGACAATACAGAGATCTTTAAGGCATACCATGACCTCTACAATAGTGAAAAAAATTTCAAAACTTATTTAACCTTATCTCAGATAACTGGGTCTTCAAGACAATTATTTGAAAAACAACCATGTTTGTACATTTTTGTTGGTAATAATTTCATTTTTTCTCTTTCTTGTATTTTACATATAGTCCAACGAAGGTACTGAAAAAAGGACCCTCATAATATCAGAAATCATTTTTTAAAAAAATATTCATCGTGTTCTTAAAAGTTTAGCATTCTTCTGAGCTTGAACAAAAAGAAATGGTCCAAAATAATTTCATTCATAGAATGTATTGTTTATCATTGTTTAAAAATAGTGAAGTTAAGAATTTTGATTTTACACTAAAAAAATTTAAATTCTTTCAATTTTTATGCGAAGTAATTGTTGGAAATTCCGTGCATTTTTTAATATTCATTTCAAATATTACCAATATTAAATTTCAGCTTAAAGCGCTTCGGATTCCTTTCAAATCAAATGTTATATTCAAAATGTTCATCTCATTCTTTATAATACCCATTCTTTGTTCGGTGGTGAAAATTGAAACACAAATACTAACACAATTAATAAAGCTAAAATAATCAAATGACTTTTTTACTTATTTTTATTCATTTCCCTTCCCGGTGACTAAACTAATACATTTAGCAAAACACGTTTTTAGTAGCTTATCCTTCAATGAAGATTATATGATTAAAGATTTATATTTCAATTAGCATTTATTTCCAAAGTTATTCGAGCATCATTGGCGTCAAAAAATTGCATGAAGTTTTTTTACTTTTCTCCTAAAAGAATTAGTACCATTTCTCCATTAATTTGACTTCTAGTACTATAATATATTTTTTATTTCAATATGTGCCTATTACAGAAATTAATTAAGCATCTTTAGCATCAAAAATGGCATAACGAGTTTTTACATATATCTTAAACGAATTAGTGCCATTGCTTGGTTAATTTTGTTTTACAATACAAAACTTATTTTTTAATTTCATTTAGTTCATATTATCAAAATTAATTGAATAATTTTGGCATCAAAGTTGTATAGCGATTTTTGTATTTTTTTCTTTTTCAAAATGAATTATATCAATTTCTCTATTTCTTTTTTTTTTCAATAAGTAACTTTTTCTTTAAAGTATTTTCCATTACCAACATTAATCAAGCTTCATTGTCGTCAATAATTATATGGTGATTTTTTGCGTTTCTGCTACACGTGTTAGCACTATTTCTTCATTAATTTAGCAATTCAGTGCATATTTTTTCCTTCAATTTCCGTGAATTTTAAATTATAGCTATGCTGTTTAAGAATGTTGAAATATAAACACGTTTAAAAAGAATAACTATAAACAAAATTAACACGAGGATCGCTTTATAAATACTAATTTGGTATCGCAATCCGCCTATTCTAGAGCCCCTGAATTAGACTTGATAGTATAGGAGCCTTAGCCTATGCTACCACGTTCAAGTTCATCATTGAGTTTATCTGACATAACGAATAAAACTCCTGAGAGCTATAAGCTAGCAAACATCACAGACGTTATCTTAAACCCGAATCGTTTGCAGTTTAATTATTATCAACAGAGATTTCTAAACCAATGAAACAATTCCATTTTTAAACATTTATGCCAAACAATCAGATTTAAGTGTTTGAACAATTTTTTAGAATCGGGGGCTAAAATTACTCCTGTCCAAATTTTATGACGGTTCTTGAGTTGAAAGAGTGATACACGCAGAGACTCATTTTATTATTATAGATATATTTTTTTTAAAAAAAACTTATGTTAATAATATAATTTTGAATGTTTGTACCGAATGAATTACATTTTGTACTTAATTTCGCTCAATTTTGAAATATTTTACATAACTGTCTTAGAGTATGAGCAAGTATTATTCAAATAAAATAAATTTTTACAGTATTTTTAAATCGGCTTTTGATAAGTAAAATGCACGAAACTTTCAATAATACTATTTAACAATGTATTAAATTAGATTTATTTTTTAGTTATATTTAAAATTTATAAAAACAAAAAGTTGCTTCAATTTTGCACTTTTGATTTTTTTTTAAAAAAAACATGTGTTTACGGTGTTTAAATATGAGTAACGATAAACTTTTAATAGCCATATATTCAAGACTATGCAATGTGTATAAACTATTTATATTCAGATATTGCAATGGTGCTTATGTATAAATCTATGTTCACATAGTCTTAAGACCAAAAAAAAGTGTACATTTGAGAAACTCGCATTTTCCCTGAATGCGGGTACACGAAATAAGCAAGTTTTCTTTTTCATATTATTTTATGGAAAAAACATTATTTCAGTAAAATTAAGATGCAAAATATCTCACTTTACATTAGATTAGTAAACTGCAATATCTTTGGGGTTACACATAATTTCAAATTTCACACTGACTTTAAAATAACTATAAACTTTCTTTTACGTGTTTTTAAACTTCTTTTGATGTAGATTAGCAATTTCTCTCATTCCATTAGCTGAGTACGTAGTTGTGATTATTAATAGTTTATTGTTTTGATGTTGTGTGATGTTAGACTATATAGTACTTATAAAATAATTTACTTAATTTTTGTGCCATATATCTCGCCTATAATTAATTGCTGTGTATTAGCTTGTTTATGTACGCTTCTTATGTGTGTTGATGTATAGTTTGTTTATATTTTCTATGGATTCAAAGATTTCTTTTACATATCAAATTAAACGAAAAAACCTTTTCAATAAAAACATCCTTAATCCTTTTCTGGTTGTTAACACATGATCATTCAATATTTCGCATGTTTACTAAAAACTAGAGCTGTTTAAAATTGAAGTTTTTTCTCACAACATATCGTCGAATTAATACAGTATTTATATAAATAGCACAATATTTTTCAATTTTCTATGCATTATTCATACCATTTAATGCTGGTTTGCAATTATTTGTTAATAACTGCTGCTATAGAAAGTGATTTAGAGGACTTAAAATTACATTTCCGATTTTATAAAAATTAGAACTATCTTCAAAATGGTGATAATTTTGGAAAAGATGTAATCGGAATTACGATATAACGCAAAGTATACTCACGCATTACTGTTCGTACGAGAAATTTTGATTCTTTGCAAAAATAAGTATGCAAGAAAATAAGTAAGCAATAAAATGATATTAATTAAAATTAATGTTTTAAGCAGTTAAAAAAAATTAAGAATATCAGATATGGTTTAAGAATTATATTCAAGCTTTTTGAGATTCCCTCCAGTTTAAATTAAGCCGGAAACTTTTCTTAGTTGCTTTCCCTGCAATGAAAGGCAAGTTTTAAAAAACATCAATACAAAATGCATAGGTATATTTTTTTTAAATCTAATTTCGTAAAAAAATGGTAAAGTGGTGTTTAACAGAATTTTTCGATGTTATCACAAAATTTTAAACATTTTCGTTATTTTCCAATTCACCTTGCAGTTCACGTAAAAACTTAAAATTTGTATTAACTGTTATTTATTTTCCCTTAATCAAAATATACGGTATTTAAGACCATTCATTTGGTAATTTTTCCGTTTATATGATAAGAGATAACTGGAAATTCTGGTTTTCAAAATTATAGTTCTTATTACCACACATTTAGTAAAAAATACAAAACTGAAAAGCAAATTTAACCGAATAAATGGTATTTATGCCATGGATATCATGATAAAATTACCAAATTTTACTACATTTACCAAAATTTATCACACATTAAAAAAACATATTTTATTGTTAGGTTTATCAAAATCATTACCAAAGCACTTCGGTACAAACTACCGAGATTTTTAGTGTTCCCATCGAGGCAGAAACACGCTAAATTTTTACCATGTTCTGGTAGTTTTGACCACACTTTTTTGAAACAGTGTAGGAATTTAAACAACATTTCCTATTTCAGCGTAACATGAATTGAACATCGTAACAAACAGCGTAACAAACATATCTTTATTCTTTAGTCTCAATAAAGAAAATAAATTATTTTCTTGAAATTTGATTTGTTACATGTATATGCCTGAAGAACAAGGTATTCAGTTTTTTATTAAAGAAATAAAATAAGTACATATCGATAAAAACAATAACTAGTCATTTTCTGTTTGCTTTTTAAATACTTCTGAAACATAATTTACATTTTTAATTGAATCTTTTGAATAATCAAATGTATCCTTCATTTTAATAGTTGAGACATTACAGAAGAGAATTTTAGTGTAATTTTATAATGATATATTATATGACTAAATATAGGATATATAAAAGAATGTTTAAAAAATCATAAACCTAAAATATAAATAAATACAGTATACCCTCGATATCTCAAAGTTGAAAGGACGCTAAAAAATTTCTAGATAGCAAGTTCAGAATTAAATATGTGGTAAAAAGTTTAAAAAATATATTCTAAAATATTACTTTAAAAAGTAGAGTCATAAAACATAAGAATAACTGCTAATAAATATATATTTAATGATGGTTGACAAATAAATACAACAATTACAAATAAATACAATTATAAATACAAATAAATACAAGAAATACAATCTAAATACAACAATTTTAATTTTATTTTTAAAAATAAGACAAAAATAACTGTGCATTTAATAGAAAAGAATTGATTTACAAAGAACTTGCATTGTGATTTTTCCTCGAAAATTCTTTTTCTATTTCGAAAAAAATTCGATATAACAAGGTTTTAAGAAAGAACCCTTCGACTAGGATTCAAATTAACATTAGGTAGATATATAATGCCAAGGGGGAAAATATATTTTTTTGACTTAAGGTTTTCGAGATATCGAGAGTAGTATACATTTTTTTATAATAATTAATCTAAAATTAATCTTAGCTTTAAAATAAGCAATATAATTTCAACTTCGATGCCTTTTCTAAATTTTGAACAACATTTTCAATTTTGTAAATCAAGTTTGCTAAGGACCAGTAAAATGTACATGTTTTGTATTTTGAAGAAAGCTTGAAATAAATATTGTGTGAAAATAGTTTTATGTTCTTTTTTAAAAAATACCATTTTCATGTTTAACAAAAGTAAAGGTGGCTAATTGATGGTAATTAGTGCAAATTATTTATATATTACATATTTTAGGTATGATTGGTTTATTTTCTATTCATTTAGTAACAAAAAGTTTCTGACCATTTAAATATACTGTTTATAATAAATAACATTCCAGTTGTTCCAAACTGGCAGACAATTTAAGTATAATACGGTTTGCTGCTTTCCACCTAAGATATTTAGAAATTTATTCTCAACAAGTTTCAAAATTCTTTTTATCGTATCGTATGCTATAGGTCTCCCATCACGAATCAGCGTGTGCAAAAACAACAAGTTTCAAAATTCTTTTTATCGTATCGTATGCTCTAGGTCTCCCATCACGAATTAGCGTGTGCAAAAACAACAAGTTTCAAAATTCTTTTTATCGTATCGTATTCTATAGGTCTCATTATTAGAGTGTGCAAAAGAGTCAAGTGCTCCGGTAGAGTTTATTCCAAGGACTAAGGGGAATATGGCAAATAAAGGCAAAATGGAAGAGAATCGAGGGAAAGTGAATATAATATCGTTGTTTGACATTTTATTGCCGTCTTTTCGCATTCCACCTGATTTTTTTCTTTCTCCCAAATAATCATCTCCTTTTGATTCAGCTACTTTTGCATTTTTGTTTCACCGACTCAGAAAAAAATGCCATAAGAAATACGTTCATATTTGGCGCGCTTCAACTTTCCTCACCTATGAAAAAGTAAACTCTTCTGCTAAGCGTTCTCGCCACCCGTTAATTTATCGTGGTCCAGTAGTAACAAGCTTTTATTGCTAACTTAAACAAAACTATAAAACACTGTTTTCAAAGAAATAATTAGACATAAAAGCATTTTCTAAATACAAATGGACACGCATTTGAATTTTTTTATATCGATATGTATATTAAATATAATTTAACTATCGTATTATCAATGAAACAGTCAAGTTTGAAACAAAAGTGTTTGGTAGGATTATTAAATAAAAAATCCCTAAGCGTCACACCAAAAACATTTTAAGAAAACTCCTAAAAACAAAAACAATTTGTTAAATAAAATGGAACAAACTCATTCTTCTGCTCATTTGTTTCCAACAATGATAAAATCCCATCACCATTTAAAAATTATTTGCAGGAGCAGACAAAAATTTAATAATGCAATCTTTCCATGCCAGCGAATAGCTATTTAAAATGAAACAGAAAACATCGAATTGCGGATTTATGGCTGTACCGCAACTTCTAGAATTCTACCTTAACATATTCAAATTCAATTTTTCATCCAAACGACCATCAATTTCGAACACTCAGATGCATCCATAAAGCTTCAACGGAATACCGTTTTTGTAGGTATTTCCTTTTTAAGAAAGAATAATGACGTCAGTAGAAATTAGCATAATTCATCTTCTTTCCCCAAATGCACTCCCTTTCAGTTTAGCTTTTGCTTTCAGTTGTCAAAAACTTCATTTGTCAGAACAGAAAAGACGTTTTCTTGTATCTACTTCTTATTTTGATTAAGTACGTTAAGATTCCTGCACCAACGTTCCAATTTTTTTTCTTCTTGCGTTCCTAGTTTTTTTTTTCTTTCTTTTTAAGAAAGAAGCTTTCACTTTTATTAACTTCGCTAACCAAAAGAACTCTCGTTGAAATGCTAATATTTACCGTGTGGACAAAAAAAAAGTTTTTTTTTCTCTTTTATTAGGAAAACATTTTTTGTTCATTCTAAAAATTAAAATAAAGTATATTTAATAAAATTTTACTGCAGATGATTTATTAAAGCCAAAAAAAAACAATTGTTTTTACTATTTCTTTCCTTAAAAGCATAAATGAATAAGTAGATATTTTTTCAGAAAATTAATGAGATCACGCAAAAAAAATTACGAAAAGGAGAGAGTTGAATAAAGTCCAATAACCTACTAAGAAAAGTTACAATAAATTGCACGCGTTTAGTTTATTACTAACAACTGACAGGTTTTCATAACTAATATACATAATACTTTCTTAGGCATATTATCACTACATTTTATAATAGGATGAGTGTGATGCATAAATGAAATCATAATCAACAGCACTGATTTCCGATTAAAAAAGATAAATCAGATTTCATTGCTTTATTTTCTAATCGAATACCTGCAAGTGACGTCAACATAGGTAAATCTAGGAGCCTTAGGTAAATCGTGTCATTTGTCGATTCGGAAGCCAATCAGGTTCGACACACACGCGTGACGTCGCTTACAAGTATCCAACTAAATTTGATATAAATCATATGGTTAGGCATAATCACTTCATTCCACAGCATGAATGAAGTGAAGTGAACTACTTTTACCCAATTGGGTATAATATGAAAAAAGCACAACTACTTTCACTTACTAGGAATAACATTTACCTTTTAGTTTAATTAATAAACTGAGTTTTAAATATGCTTACTAAATTCATAAACTTCGGTAAAACAACAATATAAATTATTTCCAAAGGAACTAGACTAATACAATTCCAACCTGGCGAGTAGCGACTTATAAACAAGACACTTCGTTTGATGCTTTTACTTGTTGCTAGAAATCAGGTTCGCAGAAAATGCTGTTTACTAGTTAAATTTAGTAGGAATAACACGATCTGTGACGTAGGCTATAGTATACCCAATTCTTTACCTTGGTCTCTAATTTCCTACATGACATCCTAATTTCCTACAAGACTGGCATCTTGAGCGACTGTACATGTTCCTGTTCCACTGCCACACAATACTATTACTCATGATAGTTTCACCGTACACGTTCTTATTTTGTCCATGAATTTAGGGTACATTGCACTACAACAAGCACTTTACATTTGGCTGGAGACTCTATAGTTGTATCCATATCTACATGCTGACTTCTCACAACTGACAAGATCTACGTGCCGAAATTGACGACGATAAAGAGGCACTAAGCCACACATATACGCAAAGAATCGTCGGGTTTTTATCACGATTGTAGTTTTGCTTCAGATCGGTCCCATAAAAAATAGTAAATCAAGTATTTAAAAGTTAAAGACTTGAGTGAGGAACGAAAAAGTAGCAGAGAAACATTATTAAATTTCAACTATGGGTGAAATATAAACTTCAGCTGTCGGATTCAAACTCTGATACCGAAAATGCTTCATAAAGCACGACACATCAATTCGACTATGCGGTTGTGTGGGGCTACTTGGCCTAGTGGTTAAATCAACTAAAACTTTCTTTCTGATTAAATTACTTTTAATCCATACTTGAATTTAATCTGGTTGTTATTTTTGAATGACGTATTTTTAAAAGATTAGGTTTAAATAAAAAAAAATAAACCTTCATGTCCTTGAAACGACACTGATAATTTAGATATAATAATCAACCTTATCAACTAAATAAATTTTCGTTTTTAACCCTTTTGAATACTTTATGCGTCTTATCACGTCACAAAAGACAGCCATTCATCAAAACAAAAGAATCTGCCAGTTGTAATAGATCATATCATCAAAGTAAAACCTATTGTTGAAAATCGTTTTACTTCACAAAAGAAGACCAAGAGAAAACC